TGATATGAGGAATTCTTAATCTCAGGAAACAAACTGAGGGTTGCTGGAGTGGTCGGGGGTGGGAGGGATTGGGTGGCTGGGTGATAGACATTGGGGAGGGTATGTGCTATGGTGAGCACTGTGAATTGTACAAGACTGATGAATCACGGATCTGTACTTCTGAAACAAATAATGCAATATATGTTAAGGAAAAAAAAGTAGAAGAAGATAGCAGGAGGGGAAGAATGAAGGTGAGTAAGTCGGAGGGGGAGATGAACCATTAGGGTTCTATAGGGGAGGGGGGTGGGAGGATGGGTTAGCTTGGTGATGGGTATTAAAGAGGGCACATTCTGCGTGGAGCACTGGGTGTTATGCACAAACAATGAATCATGGAACACTACATCAAAAACTAATGATGTAATTAGTGTATGGTGATTAACATAACAATAAAAAGTTATTAAAAAAACAAACAAAAAAGAACAGACAAGTGTTCATTTTAGTAACAGAGCCAACATTGGCTATCTCGGTTGCAGAAATTGCTTTAGAGTCACGAGGTTGGAAGTCAGACAGCAGCACTGGAAGAATGGAGGAGAGGTGAGTAAGTAGAGACAGTAAAGAAAACTGCTGTTTCAGGAAGTAGGACTGTGAAGAGGAGGAAAGATTTAAGGCAGTATTTGGAAGGCAGATTTTCAAATTTAACATGGGAGGTTCTTGATCACATTTAAATGCTAATGGAACAGAGACAATAAAAAGGGACAAGTTGGAGATCTAAGAGAGAAAAAAAACAATTGAGTGCAAATGGATGGAGAGAACTGCCTTTAAGATGTTACAGAGGGAATTTAAACATGAACTAAGACTTGCTCAAAAGACCTTTGAGATCTCTTTCTACCTCGAGAATCTGAGCTTGGATGATGTTTTTTTAAAATACAATGTAAATTCAATTAGCCCACATATACTACATCGTTAGTTTTGGGTGTAGTGTTCAATGATTCATTAGTTTCATATAACACCCAGTGCTCATCACATCATATGCCCTCCTTAGTTGAATTTAAATAAAAAAAGAAACAAATAAATTGAAATATAGCTCAAAAAATAAAATAAAATAAATAAAATAAAATAAAATGTAATATTAAAGGATCAGGAACCAGAGTACCTGAGTTCATCTAGGAAAAAAACCAAAAGTTTTGGTCTAAGGAAAGAATCTATCACAGTTTTCTTTTGTTCCAGGAGGTAAGGGTTCTTACCCGCCAATATCCTGCTTCACAAAGTCCCCAGGTTCTTGTCGTCTTGATTCCGCTTGGCCGGTTATTACAGGAAAAATATTAATCAGGAAAAGAAGCCCAAGGCTGGTCGTGTAGAAGTGACTCATTTGTGTGATTATCATCTTCTTAGGCACCAACTTGGAGAGACCTGTGAGATCCATGTTCAGGGAAAAGAGGAAGGAGGAGTGGAAGCAAAAAAGAAAAAGGTAAAAAAAATTTTTATTCAATTCTATTAGAGCCATTTAACTTCCCTAGTGTCCAGTTACTAAATGATTAAGGTGACAATCCTCTTTCCCCAGTTCATCAATGCCACCAAAATTCATTCCCAACATACTCCTTTCTTGAATATACCAAAGCCCATCCAAGAAAGTGTAAAGAGCTCTAAATCAGTAATTCAGAATCTTAGGTTACAGTTTCATCTCTTTCCCTGTCTTCTTTCAGCTTTAGTCACTCTTTCATAATCCAAGAGTTTAAAATAATCTCTCATGTCTTCAATTTATTTTCCCCCAATCCCATTTGACCTTTACTCTCACAAATGCCTTTGCCATAGTTAACTGTGTAATATTGTAGGAAATATTAGAATATTAAGACCTGAACTCTCTTTATAACATTTTTGGGATTGATTCTCATTTCTACAGTTAAGCAATTTTCCAAAAGATCAAAGGTCTTGGAGTAGATGAACTGTTTCCTCTGAATCAGGTTGAGAAAATGCTAAATGATGAGACACCATGGCTCTAGAATAGGATGTAATATTTCCCCATAAAGAGATATTTGAGGGCAAAGTCAGCCCCATGTAGGGGCCGCAACATAAGAAATCCAAGTCTATCTTCCTAGTACAGAAGACCCTAAAATGTCAGCAAATTATACTGATAGAATTGTGTGATTTAGAGTTGCCTATGTGCAAGGCTATTTTATGAACTCTGGACTGGTGGATGTTTAGCTAAGACATGGGGTTAAGAAAACAGTATAAAGTGGCACTTTCTTGCTATCTCTGAACTTTATGGCTTCTTTGAACGTGAGACATTGACCACTTGAAGGAGACCTAATTCTGACCCAACACCACACTTTTTTAAAGTCATATCAGTGGCTTAATGTCCAGAGAGAATAAAAGGCTTTAAAAGTTTTTTCCAAGGAAAGTTTATGCAAGGGACTAATATGTAATACAGATACATGCTGGAGAGCTATTATGGTTGATAAAAAGATCAAGAACAAGTCTTTTTAAATTTATCCCACCCCCAAAAAGTAGCCACTATGTTCTATACTCAATTGTCTTCTTGAATCTTTGTGATGAGAAAACATCTATTTTGAGTTGCTGCCTAGACATTTTACAATATGGCAACCTTGCTCATACCCAGAGTCTGGACATTTAGATAAGGACCCAAACTTAGGATTCCCACTACAAGTACCTGCTCTGCTTTTCCCAGGGCATCTTTTAAAATAACCACTTAGAGTTGAGCCCACAAAAAGTTAGTGATCTCCACCCCAACCACCTGATAAATAATAGGTGCCTGTAACCTACTCTCTATCTCCTGCCAGCTTGTGACCTGGGAGGGAGTGATGCCCTTCCCCCAGCTCATTACACTTCCCTGTGGTGGGATTTGTAAGTAAATAAATCTTGTGACTTTACTTCTTTTGTATGAATATATTAAAACTGCATCTGCAATCAAAACAACCCCAGGGTTTTTGTTTCCCCAAAGTGGAAGCTCAGATGATGGGGGAGCTGCCTTTTGACCTCGTGTGGGTTGTTTGTGCTTCTGCATTTATCAAGTCATAACCTGCATATTCTTAATATATCAGTTATTGGTCTCTCTCAACAGAATATTGTACAGGCAAAGAAAACTATGATACTGGAGAAGATGAACTTCTGACATGAGGAAATGTCCACATTACAGATAGAAATAGTCATAATATTAGGTTGTATCATATAAAATTGCCAATATTTGACAATTTTTGTTTTACAAAAACAGCAATTTTTTTACAAAACCATAACTGTTTTTACTATTTCGTGCCTAGTTGTATAAATTTTTTTATTTTATTTTATTATGTTAGTCACCATACATCATTAGTTTTTGATGTAGTGATCCATGATTCATTCTTTTCGTATAACAACCAGTGCTCCATGCAGTGCATGCCCTCCTTAATACCCATCACCGGGCTAACCCATCCCCCCATGCCTCTCCCCTCTAAAACCATCAGCTTGTTTCTCAGAGTCCATAGTCTCTCATGATTCATCTTTCCCTCCAATTTTCCCCTGTTCATTTTTCCCTTCTTTCTCCTAATGTCCTCCATGCTATTCTTTATGTTCGACAAATAAGTGAAACCAGATGATAATTGACTTTCTCTACTTGACTTATTTCACTGAACATAATCTCCTCCAGTCCCATCCATATTGAAGTAAAAGTTGGGTATTCATCCTTTCTGATGGCTGAGTAATATTCCATTGTATATATGGACCACATCTTCTTTATCCATTCATCTGTTAAAGGGCATCTTGGATTTTTCCACAGTTTGGCTATCGCGGACATTGCTGCTATGAACACTGGGATGCATATGGCCCTTCTTTTCACTATCCTTGTCTTTGGGGTAAATACCCAGTAGGGCAATTGCTGGGTCATAGGGGAGCTCTATTTTTAATATTTTGAGGCACCTCCACACTGTTTTCCAAAGTGGCTGTACCAACTTGCATTCCCACCACCAGTGTAAGAGGGTTCCTCTTTCTCCACAACCTCTCCAACATTTGTTGTTTCTTTCCCTGTCCATTTTTGCCATTCTAACTGGTGTAAGGTGGTATCTCAATGTGGTTTTGATCTGAATTTCCCTGATGGCTAATGATGATGAACATTTTTTCATGTGTCTGTTAACCATTTTTATGTCTCTTTCAGAGAAGTGTCTGTTCATGTCTTCTGCCCATTCTTTGACTTGATAAATTTTTGGGGGGTGTTGAATTTGAGAAGTTCTTTATAGATCTTGGATACCAGCCCCTTATCTGTAGTGTCATTTGTAAATATCTTCTCCCATTCTTTGTTTTGTTGACTGTTTCCTTTGCTGTGCAGAAGCTTTTTATCTTGAAGTCCCAAAAGTTCATTTTTGCTTTTGTTTCACTAGCCTTTGTAGATGTATCTAGAAAGAAGTTGCTGTGGCTGATGTCAAAGAGGTTATTGCCTATGTTCTCCGCTAGGATTTTGATGGATTCTTATCTCACATTGAAGTCTTTCATCCATTTTGAGTTTATCTTTCTGTATGGTGTTAGAGAATGGTCGAGTTTCATTCTTCTGCATGTGGCTGTCCAATTTTCCCAGCACCATTTATTGTCTTTTTTCCATTGCATATTTTTTTCCTGCTTTGTCAAAGATCATTTGACCATAGAGTTAAGGGTCCATATCTGGGCTCTCTATTCTGTTCCATTGGTCTATCTGTCTGTTTTTGTGCCAGTACCATGCTGACTTGGTGATCACTGCTTTGTAATGTAGCTTGAAATCAGGCAATGTGATATCCCCAGCTTTGTTTTTCTTTTTCAACATTTCCTTGGCAATTTGAGGTCTTTTCTGATTCCATACAAATTTTAGGATTGTTTGTTCCAGCACTTTGAAAAATGTCATTGGAATTTTGATTGGGATGGCATTGAAGGTATAGATTGCTCTGGGTAGCATAGACATTTTAACAATGTTTATTCTTCTGATCCATGATCATGGAATATTTTTCCTTTTTTTTATGTCTTCTTCAATTTCTTTCATGAGTGTTCTGTAGTTCCTAGGGTATAGATCCTTTACCTTTTTGGTTAGGTTTATTCCAAGGTATCCTATGGTTTTTGGTGCTATTGTACATGGAATCGATTCTCTAATTTCTCTATCTACGGTTGTATTGTTAGTGTATAAGAAAGCAACTGATTTCTGTGCATTGATTTTGTATCCTGCCACATCACTGAATTGCTGTATGAGATCTAGTAATTTGGGGGTGGAGTCTTTTGGGTTTTCCACATAAAGTATCATGTCATCTGCAAAGAGAGAGAGTTTGACATCTTCTTTGCTAATTTGAATACCTTTTATTTCTTTTTGTTGTCTGATTGGTCTTGGTAGGACTTCTAGTACCATGTTGAACAATAGTGGCAAGAGTGGGCATCCTTGATGTGTTCCTGATCTTAAAGGAAAGGCTCTCAGCTTTACCCCATTGAGGATGATATTTGCTGTGGGTTTTTCATAGATGGATTTTATGAACTTGAGGAATGTTCCCTCTATACTCTGAAGAGTTTTAATCAGGAATGGATGCTATATTTTGTCAAATGTTTTTTCTGCATCAATTTAGAGGACCATATGGTTCTTCTCTCTTCTCTTATTAATGTTTTCTATCACATTGATTGATTTGCAACATTTGAACCACCCTTGCATCCCAGGAATAAATCCCACTTGGTCATGGTGGATGATCCTTTTAATGTATTGTTGGATACTATTAGCTAGGATTTTCTTGAGAATTTTGGAATCCATATTCAACAGGGATATTGGTCTGAAATTCTCCCTTTTGATGGGGTCTTTGCCGGGTTTGGGGATTAAGGTAATTCTGGCCTCATAGAATAAGTCTGGAAGCTTTCCTTCTGTTTCTATTTTTTGAAAGAGCTTCAGGAGAATAGGTATTATTTCTTCTTTGAATGTTTGGTAGAATTCCCCAAGGAATCCATCAGGCCCTGGACTCTTGTCTTTTGGGAGGTTTTTGATCACTGCTTCAATCTCATTACTGGTTATTGGCCTATTCAGGTTGTCAATTTCTTCCTGTTTCAGTCTTGGCAGCTTATAGGTTTCCAGGAACGCATCCATTTCATCCAGATTATTCAGTTTATTGGCATATAGTTGTTGATAATACTTTGTAATAATTGTTTCTATTTCCTTGGTGTTAGTCATGATCTCTCCCCTTTCATTCATAACTTTATTAATTTGGGTCCTTTCTTTTTTCTTTTGGATAAGTCTGGCCAGTGGTTTATTGATCTTATTAATTCTTTCAAAGAACCAGCTTCTAGTTTCATTGATCTGATCTACTATGTTCCTGGTTTCTAATTCATTGATCTCTGCTCTAATCTTAATTATTTCTCTTCTAATGTGTGGCTTAGGCATTGAAAAAAAAGCAATTTTTATGGTCAATATATGGGCTGTGGCATTCATGATTCACTA